AGCTAGAGTGCCATGGCATCAGACTAGCTCACAGTAACCTCAAACTCCAGGTTCAAGTGATACACCTGCATCAGCCTCCTGAGTAACTGGGACTACAGGCACTTGCCATGATGCCCAGCTAATTTTTCTGGTTTTAGTAGAGATGGAGTCTTGGTCTTTCTCAGGCTATTCTTGAACTCCTGAGCTCACGGGATCCTCTAGCCTCAGCCTCCCAGAGTGCTAAAATTATAGGCGTGAGCCACAGCACCCATCCCTTTTCCCAGTATTTTTCATACTGAATTTGGCCATGGAATGCAGTTTTTTCCATGAAAACTTACACTTAGGTGATCTCTTAAGTTTTGTCCAACTTCAACGGTGTTTAAAATAATGTAAATTAGAACACAGAACTCCCTCTGAAACTTTTATATCAGCTTTAGCTTCTAATACCTTTAAATCATCTCCTAAGAGTACTCAAACCTCCCCATAAAAGGTCACCCTTTAGACCAGGCTCAGAAAGGTCATAATTAGATTTTGCTGGTGGCCATCAGCTCCATTGCTCAGAGGATCAAAACAAGTCTGGGGCTTGCTTGAGACTGAGGTTACTTAGATGAAGGGATTCTCTCTAAGCTGAGACCTTTTTAGAATCCTATCTCAAGAAAAAGGTTGTTTTGGCTCAATGCCTGTAGCTCAGAGGGTAGGCGCCAACCATATACACCAGAGTTGGCACGTTCGAATCTAGCCCGGACCTGCCAAATAACAATGACAACTACAGCTAAAAAATAGCCAGGCATTGTGGTGCACATGTGTTTCCAGCTACTTGGGAGGATGAGGCAAGAGAATCGCTTAAGCCCAAGAGTTTGAGGTTGCTGTGAGCAGTGACATCAAGCACTCCTCCAAGGGCTGCAGCTTGATACTCTGTCTCAAAAAATAAAAGAAAGAAAGAAAAAAGGTTGTTCTTCCCATTCTCCTTAAACCCTTGTAAGTTTTCGGGTGGACTGCAGCGGGGCTACATGTGGTCTAAACTAGGTTCTCCTGTGTACAATCAATTTCTTCAAATGACTCTTTAGATAAGCACTTAAAAGAAAAATGAATTATACATTTGCTGACCTATAGAGGGCGCCTCAGAGTTATTTTGTCTAAGATGATGTCTTAGTCCCTACTGTAATAACAAAAATCCCTCAACAAATTATCCCTTGGGTAATGTATAAACAAAAAATATCTTTCTCAGAGTTCTGGAGGCAGGGAAATCTATGATTTCCACTCCAAACATGGCACCTTTTCTGTGTCCTCACATGGCAGAAAGAAACAAAAGGGGCAAACAGACTCCCTCAAGCCCTTGTGAGGGCACTAATCTTTTTTATGAATGTGGAGTCCTCATGATCTAATCATCTCCTAAAGACCCCACCTCTTAATACTTTTCTTTTGGGCATTAAGTTTCAGCATGAATTTTCAAGAGACACAAACATTTAAATCACAGTAGATGACAGAGCTGTGTCACGTAGGCACTATCCCTTACCCCGTCCTAGACTGCTAGTCTGTTGTGGCACTCTTTCTCGCAGAGTGCAGACATGGCCACTGAATCCTTCTCAACACAGTTCTCCAGGTAGTCACAGTCAATCAGTTGATCAACATTGGTCCAAGTACTACTGAAATATAGTGGCCATGCCTGATCTAGTTGAAAACCTCATTGTACAAACAAAAGAGAAATCTCAACCCCAGAAAAGTTAAGTGATATTCCCAAAGTCACATAATCAGTTTAGTTGTGAAAAGAGTCTCGAATAAAAAAATTTTGTCTATGGATGGAACCAGTTAGTAGAAAGAGTTCATACAGAACATTCTGCCTCACAGTCCCTAGAGCTGCAGTCAGAAGAGGCCTCCGTCCTGTATTTTCCTGACCTGTCTCTAGATTCCTCAGAGCCAAGTTCCCTCTAGGAAGTCAGAATCTATTGATAAATGTCAAACTCTTACCAAAATGATACCATGCCTACACCACTGACAGACCCTGTATTATTTTCTGAAGTTTTTCCAAATAACTATCAGGAACATTGCCCATGGCTATACCCTCTTACAATTTTCTCAAGGGTTCCTCTTCATCTCTCCTGCCACCAGTGAGTGACCTGAAGCTCCAGAAGAGTGACGAGTGGCATCTCTTTCCTTCATCGGGGGAAGTCGGGTTATTCTAGAAAAAAAAAAAAAAGCAGCTCACACTTAGAGCAAAACAATTACAGGCAGAGCAGTGGGTTGTCCAGTTCACAGTTCTAGACTTCATAGGATGGTTCTAGAACCTTGTGGGAATTGGGAAGCCCTGGAATGGTTAATTTCTCCCCAGTTTGGCCTTAAAACAAAGAGATGCTGGTAAGCCCAGGTTCGAATCTCAAATCTGACTTTTTTTTCTTTTTTTGAGACAGTCTTACTTTGTTGCCCTCGCTAGGGTACCTTGGCATCACAGCTCACAGCAACCTCACAACTCTTAGGCTTAAGCAATTCTCTTGCCTCAGCCTCCCAAGTAGCTGGGACTACAGGTGCCTGCCACAATGCCCGGCTATATTTTTTTTTTTTTGTCACAGTTGTCACTGTTGTTTAGCTGGCCCAGGCTGGGTTTGAACCCACCAGCCTTGGTGCATGTGGCCAGTGCTGTAACCTCTGTGGTATGGGTGCCAAGTCCCCACATCTGACTTTTGCTGGTGGAACTTGGCCTCTATATGTTTTGGTTTACTCATCTGGAAAAGGGAGGATAATGACACATTATATCTCTCTGTTAAGATAGCTGGGAAAATTTAACAAAGTGAATTGACAAAGCAGTCGTAGGTACTCAATACATGGTAGTTTGTGTTAGAACTACTATGGCTGATCCGTGATGTGGCAGGTGAAGTGATGCTTTCTTTCTTCAAGAAGTAAGAGGAGAAAACTCAGACTGTGGCCATGTGCCCTGAACATACAGAGAGGGCTGGAGGTGACATGACGACTCCGTTGTTGGTAACAAGGCTCCATGAGGTGCAAAGACAGAATTTCAGGACACTTCTGCCTTCAGGCCTTGGAGAGTGACCTTGTGTAACCAACCACAGAGATCTCATTTCGAGCTGTTAAACGGTGGAAGTTGCATGGCCCCCACCTGCATGTCTGCACACTCCAAAAGAGGATGGTCGTGCAACTAACCTCTCGTTTGTCTTTCCCCAGGCACATCCACTGTAGTGTGCAAGCCTATAGTCATTGACACTCAGCTCTATGTTATTGTGGCCCAGCTGTTTGGTGGCTCTCACATCTATAAGCGGGACAGTTTTGCAAATAAATTCATAAAAATCCAGGATATTGAAATTCTCAAAATTCGAAAACCCAATGACATCGAAACATTCAAGATTGAAAACAACTGGTATTTTGTCGTTGCTGACAGTTCGAAAGCCGGGTTTACTACCATTTACAAATGGAACGGAAATGGATTCTATTCCCATCAATCCTTACATGCGTGGTACAGGGACACCGATGTGGAATATCTCGAAATCGTCAGAACGCCGCAGACACTCAGAACGCCTCATTTAATCCTGTCCAGTAGTTCCCAGCGTCCTGTAATTTATCAGTGGAACAAAGCAACACAGTTATTCACTAACCAAACTGACATTCCTAACATGGAGGATGTGTATGCCGTAAAGCACTTCTCAGTGAAAGGCGATGTGTACATTTGCTTGACAAGGTTCATTGGTGATTCCAAAGTCATGAAATGGGGAGGCGCCTCATTCCAGGATGTTCAGAGGATGCCATCGCGAGGATCTATGGTATTCCAGCCTCTTCAGATAAATAGTTACCAATATGCAATTCTTGGGAGCGATTACTCCTTTACTCAAGTATATAACTGGGATGCAGAAAAAGCCAAATTTGTGAAATTTCAGGAATTAAACGTTCAGGCACCACGATCCTTCACACATGTGTCCATTAATAAGCGTAATTTTCTTTTTGCTTCCAGTTTTAAGGGAAATACGCAGATTTACAAACACGTCATAGTTGACCTAAGCGCATGAGACACCAAATTCTGTGGCTGCCATCAGAAACTTTCTACAGTACATGACCCAGATGAACTCAATGCATGATGACTCTTCTTATCACACTTGCAAATGAATGCCTTTCAAACATTGAGACTGCTAGAACTAAGCACTACCAGTATCTCCATCCTTAACCGTCCAGTCCAGTGGTGTGGGAAGTTACCTTTTATAAGACGAAATTCAGTTGTGTAACTGTTCTTTGCAGTGAAGATGTGTAAATAAGCGTTTAATGGTATCTGTTACTCCAAAAAGAAATATTAATATGTACTTTTCCATTTATTTATTCATGTGTTCAGAAACAACTGCCAAATAAAATGTTTACATTTTCTTTCATATCCCAAAGGTAATTATTTACAGGAGTTGTTTTATTCTTGATGGCATATGGAGGAAATAGTTTTATATGATACGTTTATATGTGGATCAAGTATTTATGGTATGAATCATGAGTGAAGCGAAAACACTGAGATGGATCACTCCGAATGTATGAACAGTTTGGTTGTACATGTATCAGCCGATGGTGGGCATTCAAAGGTGTTTCCAAAGGTCATGGCTTTTAGGGACATTTTTAGGTGAAGTGGTGAGTAACAAATTCAAAGAAAGGAAGAGAAATTTGCCTATGACAAGAAAACTAATTTGAAATAAAGAACAGTAAGTAAGACTCATCCTTTTCTGTCTGCTAGCCTCAGCTAGAAGCATTACTCAGATAAGTTACGGGAGAAACAAAAATCAAGATTTAGGATTTTAAAAATCCTATTCAGGGACTGTCTAAATATCTGACTCTAGACTCATCTGACAGCTGATAGAGATTGTGACCTAACAGCACTTGCCTCTAATGGACCGTTATGAAGGCCTCTTAATCTGATCAAGGATGCTTCGCTTCTAGATACCAATTTTGATGTTATTTACCTGCTGCAGTGTCCAAAAGCTTACATTTGATTTTCTAAATTCCCGCTCTTGGGTCACATGCGTTGTTAGCACCCAGCACAATGCCTGTGATGTAGTAGGCTCTCAAAAAATGCTTTCGAAGAAGCCCATGTCCTCCTGTCATAATATAACAATAAACTTTATAAGGCCTTCTGACCTAATCAGTCAGTATTTATTGAGTACCTACTAACAATGGTGTATTGTTATGGGGGAGGGGAGGGCAGGGAAGGGAGGAGAACTGAGGACTAGCAGCATGGTCCTTGTCCTTTGGAAGCCTAGAGGACCAACTGGGGATTTAGAACACAAAAACCTACACAGCAAGCTGTGTGTGCCAAGTACCATCTAAACGTTCCAGACGACTTCCTAAAACACATGGTCCTTGTTTGAACTTAAAGGGAAGATGCTATTTCAGAAGGGGATCATGGCAGAGAAGGCACTTCTGGCACAAACTGGTTCTGTGTGCTGCCCTCCCAGAAGGGATCAGCGCTTGCTCCTGCTCACTGCTCCCCAGACCCTTCTGCTGCAGGACGGGGCTCGGGGTGGGCAGATGGCAGCCCCTGTGCTTGATGCATATCTGGGAGACTTGAGGCATCAATGGTACATACAATATCTACATAGTCTCCAGGAAGCAACACCCGGGGAAGTTATGCACAAGAACCAGATTCCTTTACCCATACAGGAAAGATTAACCCTGACATCAAGGATATGGTAGAAAAGAATTCTTACGCAGTCCTGATCCTGCACATAGGAGGAAGTGGCCTGTGAATGCCTTTTACTTTCTTCTATTCCCTTTTCCTATAAGCAGCATCATGGGCTGTTGGAGAACACCTACTTAGTACAGACTTGGTTTAAGTTCAGCTCTGCTACTACTGGCTTTGGCCAGAGGCAAGTTACTTACCCCCGCTGAAATCAGTCTCTTCATCTGTAAAGAGGGCAATAATACCTACCTCCAAGAATAATAGGAGGGTTAAATGAGATAGTGCATGCACAGCAGATTGTATTTTCCAAATGTGGCCACAGTTATGTGTCCCATCCTGGGCACAACTACATGTCCCATCCCACATGTTCCATAAGAAGGTGGTATGTAATTCATTTATAATTAGGTAGGGATGAGTTTATAACTTGCTTGTAATAGAACGTGGTAGGAATAATACAGTTGACTTCTGCAGCTAGACCATAAAAATGATGAAACTTTTCTTCTGGCTTGTAAATGAGAGTACTTGCTTTTGGAGCCCTGAGCAGCCACATAGAAAGTCCTGCCAGCCAGAGGCCAGCAAGCCTAAGCCCCCTGGAGAAACTGTAGCTACTTTGGTCAACAGCCCCAGCTGAGGTTCCAGCCGACAGCCATCCTTAACACTGATCTGTAAGTGAAGAAGCCTCCAGGTGACTCCAACCCCAGCTATCAGGTCACTACCCCACATCAGATCCTCCCAACGGAGGCCCCTGACTTTGCGGAGCAGAGAAAAGTCAGCCCCACTGGTGTCCTGTTATAATTCCTGACTCATAGATTCTATAAGCATAATAAAATGGCTTAAATTATTTTAAATGTCTAAGTCTTGGGTGATTTGTTACACAATACCAGTAAAGTACTTAACACAGAACTGGCACAACTGCACCCTCATCATAGTACCAGTTATGGCTACAGGCTCCACACTCGAAATATTGCATACTTTGGGGTCATGCTCTACCTTATGGTCTTAATGCAATTCATTGTCATTTCATGTTTTAGAGACTAGCTTCTTATTTATAATACATTATTGAGTGTTCTTACTCTGTACCAGGCATTGTGCTGAGCTTGGGAACACAGAGATTAAAGACCTGGATTTCACCATTTATTTTCAGAGATGCATTGACTTTTGAAACCAGCAAACTGACTCTGTAATTTACCTTAGAACCTGAGACCCAGAGGGTGAAGTGAGTTGCTGAGTCAGGACCATCTTCCAGGCTTCCTAATACTCAACCCAGTCCTCTCTCCATCACATGGTGCCACTCTCAATAACACTCTCTCCAATTTGAACCTGGGCTGCAGATGGGGAGAGAGATGAGGAATGAGGAGGCAGAGTGAGGTCCCAGCCAATAGCCAAGAAAAGCAGAGGAGCTGGACATGCAGTAGGGTCTTCTTTTGCAGGAATTGACTAGCCTTTTCTGAGACTTGCCTCCTCTACCTGTCATCCTCTTCTATCCATCCTGTTTAACTTTGTCCCCTCTCTAGCCATAGAAGATTGTACCTGGATTGGACCCCCATTGGTCACCTGGAATAAACTCCAGGTGTTCTCCCAGAAGTCGGGCTGGGCTCAGCCTGAGCCAAGCCAGTTCTCCCTCCTGGTTATTTGGAATTAAGACAACAGAGGTTGGGACAACTAGCCACAGGCACCCAGGTTTGTGAGGTGAACTTAAATAAGGCTCCCAGGAAGCAAAGGGCTTTATTGAGGGAGGGGTACGCCTGTAAAGGGGGTGAGAAAGACTGTGTAGGGTAGGGAGGCACTGGGCCAAGATGGGAAGAGTCCAGCCTGAGCCCGATTCCAGGGGAACTCTAGAGCAAGAACTGTACAGAATGTCTCCTGCCTTGAGGATGAGAAGGATGGACTTTTGTCCCCCCTCGTCTTACAATCCCTGGCCAAGGAGTGCAGGGCATGACCTGTCAGGCATCTCCAGGAGAGAAGGTTGTAGTTGGCTAAGGACAATCCTCCAGAGAAGGGTACGCATGGGAGCTGCTACTAACTGATACCCACAGCAGCTGCAAGACGAGGGCATCAGCCTAACAAGGGGTGTCCGGGTGGCACAGTGATGGTGGTACAGCCACACTGGCCCATGCACCTCAAGATCTGAAGAAACTAGTCAGAAAAGTGAGAAGAGAGTGACAGACAAGTTCAGGTTAGAAGCAGAGGTTAGAAGCTTTGCAGTCTAAGGGAGGGAGAGGTCAAAGGAGGAGGGAAGGGAGAGCAAAGAGGAAGCGGACGTGGAAGGTGGGGGTGGGAGAGGAAAGAGGGAAGGGGTGGCTGTCCAGGTCAGGCTACCTGAGAACTGGATTCTGAGAAGTTAATGCACAAACATTTACTAAGCAGCACTTAGGCTGAGGTCAACACCTGGAAAAGAGGAGAAGAGAACAGGTCTGGGCAGAGGGAGAAGCCAGCTGAGCTGAAATTCCAGTCAGAGCCTCAGGCAACCTCCTAGAGAGCTCAGAGCTGGGCTGTCCCCTCTCAGATGTCCCAAGTTGGAGCAAGGGGAACAGGTCTTTATTGGATGTAGCTCCCTGCCTTGACTCCCTCAAGGCACTTCTGTCAACTTCTAGTAACAACTACACACTCGTGCACACACAAATTTTGTTTTGTTGTAAATTAGATCGGATGGATTTCTGTGCTTGCCTGCCACAAAATTATCTAAACAACTAACCCAGAATGTTTTGGTATAATTTACTCTAATGTAGATATGATGGGAAATACTAGACATTTCAATCTCTTTTTCACTCTGCAGTTCCAACTGTATAATTTCTATTACTCTATGCTCAAGTTCACTGACTCTTTCTTCTGTCATCTCCAATCTCAAGTTTCTTCAAAAAGTAATATTATCTTGGGCAGCACCTGTGGCTCAAAAGGGTAGGGCGCTGGCCCCATATGCCAGAGGTGGCGGGTTCAAGCCCAGCCCTGGCCAAAAACTGCAAAAAAGAAAAAAAAAAAAGTAATATTATCTGAACCAGACTAGTGCTTCTCAACTTAAAAAAAAAAAATTCTAACGGACTAAAATTGTTTGGACCATGGAAATTTTAAAATCTCTAATGTATTTCCAATTGTATTGTGAACCAATACTTTTAGAAATTAAAATAAAAGGGAATTACTAGAAAAATGATTACATCCCTGGTTATCATGGCAACATCTTAAGTTCTATACTCATTTCACCCCAAACTCTTTCTGGACTGGCATCAGTCCTGGGCCCCTATCTCTAGGTACATGGAATGAATTACAGCTCCGCTCAACTTAGCTCTTACATGTCAATTATAATGTGGGTGTAAACACATTTTAATATAATTGGCCTTCAAGGGATGCCACATTTTAGGAAGTCTTAACATGGTCCTAGAAGATCCTGAAGGTAGAGTTCAAGATCAGGTCCAGCTGCTTCTCCCACTCCAGCATCTCCGCCTGACCCATGCTCCAGGTACCCACACGATTTGCTAATCCCTGTGCATCTGAGCACCTACACGCTTCTGTGCTCAGCCTGTTCTGACTACGTGCAATGCCCTTTCCCGACTTTTTTACTTTTTGAGATTTTCGCCCTTCTCCTCCAACCAGTTAGATTTGATTTCCCCTTTCTTCAGATTTCTCAGTCCATTGCTTTTACCATGAGAGAGGCTGATAATTCATTCTGTTTTATGTTTCGGTTAGTTGTTGATGTATCTGTCTCTCCAGGATTACAC